AAAAACCTTTCCGACTTGGAGAAGGTGAGGTGCAGAGGCATTCTCTCCTGAGAGCACAGAAGAGTTCTGCGTGTCAGCTTACCCGGTTGCTGCTTGAGAACTAAATTATAAATAAACGTGTTGGGTGGTGGAAGCATGTCCTGTGGTTCTCAAAGAAGAAATATTCACAATGTAGATACAGAAATATATTCGGTGTATTTTCACTTGGTAATTGCATTATTTTTATTCTTAATTCTTTGACTTTCTGATTTTTCACAGCACTCAATGTGAAATGGACAAGAGCCCACAGACAAATAATGAATTTTTTCACACACACACACACACACACACACACACACACACACACACACACGTACCAGTATACTGTTGTGTAAAACTGACAAGAAACAGTGCAAACGTGACAGTCTAGACAGAGATTGTTGGAGGAATAACAATGGAAACAAGCTTTTTTTTTTTTGAGGTTAAAAATAATGTGTTTACTAGAGTTATTTGCATTGGCCGTTTAGAGGCTTCCCCAGGATGCCTTGGTTAAGAAAGCTGTGAAAGCCGCAGGAAGCCTTGCCAGGACTCTGTGCTGCTCTGAGATTTCCTAGCTGATTTCATGCTGGTTGATGGACAAGAAGATGGAGGTGTCTTGCTGCCGGGCCTTCTTGGATTCTGAGAAGTGAAAGTCAGGAATTACATGTCCTGCACTTGGCGGCATCCAGCAGGTCCCTCTTCTGAACTGCACAGTGGCACAGTGTGACATGCCTGCCAGTGGGTGTCTTTCCTCATGACACCCAGGGACAGGAGCTCCCTGCAGCTGGCCCAGCACAGTCTCCGTGAACCCTTGCTTCACAGCACTCAGTGTGAAAATAGAGAGGAGCCTGCAGACAAAATAACAAATACTAATGAGTAATTTACAATTGTGGGGAAAATCCCTTGTAGTCCTACAAACAGAAAGTACACTTGATTTTCCTCAATCTCTTTACATCTTTAGTTATCTGAACTTATTTTTCTAAAAGCCTCCGGTGCTTGTGATTTGACCTCAAGGATGTAAGAGTAATTTTAGCCATGTTTTTTCTCAAGTGTCTTTTGAGGGACTGTGTTGTTTGAATTGCTCAGTCTTTAAAAATGTGATTGTGTGTTTATTGCTCAGAGTTCTGTAGATAGAAGTTTCTGTCCCATCTGGTCCTGCAGCCATTTAGTCCAAAATAAACACACAGAGACTTATATTAATTATAAAATGTTTGGCAGATGGCTCAAGCTTCTTAGTGGCTACCCCTCTCTTAATTATTAACCCATTTCTATTAATCTGTCTATCTCCATGTGATCATGGCCCGTGATGTCCGACCTCTTGCTTCCTTGGCAGCTACGTGGCATTTCCCTGACTCCACCCCTTACCTTTCTCTATCCCTGTTTGGATTTCCCACCTGACCAAATCCTGCCTATCCATTGGTTGAAACATCTGTATTCATCAACCAACAAGAGAAATATATATTTACAACATACAGAAGGCCATCCCCATCAGAGTTCCCTGGGAGAACAGAACCAACAGAGTAGTTGTGTATCACAAAGGTAACTAGTTAGATTGGCTTACATGATACTTCTGGGTAATTTAGCAATGGCTGTCTTCATAGTGGAGAGTCTGAGAATTGCTGGCTTCTCAGCTGATCAGTGTTTGAGGCTGGATGCCTCCACAGTCCCAGTCTGGCACTGAAGGCCTGGAGGATGCTGGGAGCATTGAACACTATGGGGTCTTTGGTCCATACTAAAAAAAGCTGAAGAAGCCAGGGTGCATCACCAGTCAGGGATGGCGGCAGCAGTAGCAGCAGCAAAGTTGATTCAGTCATCAGCAAGGGTTAAGGTAGGCAGGCAAAATCAGTCCAACTTTTCCCTCAGACCTCTTTGGCAAAATTGTAGGATGGCCTTATGTGAAGATGTGCTCGGCTCATTTCAGGGTCTTGGTGGGGTTAGTCTGAGTGGATAGCTCTCTTAGCTTCTGGCCCACTCACCTGCTGCACAAGGGACACTCTGCACCCCTGAGGGGGTGGACAGGATTAGGAAATGTAGCCATGCTTTGACCCTTCGCTACTAGATGCACTAAATTCCTTAGGCAGTCAGGTCAACTTCTGTCTGTTATGACAGAAAGATAGCGGAGAGAGGAAAGTTTAGCAGTAAAGGGTTATCTCCTAAGGACAGTCACCTTCAAATAGTGAGTGAATGTGGTCTTTATGTAGGATGACCCCTCGTTGATTTCTGAATTAAGCAATAAAAAGATGTCTGAGTGTGTCAGGGAGGGCAGCCAGCCTCTCAGAACTTCCTACAGAGCCATCCTGGAGGCCCTGTGGCAGGCTGTCTGATTAGCAGAGAGGCCAGGTGTCCCGATATTTGGGTCCTCTGTTCTGCTATCAGCAGTAGGAAGCCATATGGCATTGAGTTAGCTGGTTACCCTTAGTGTATTTAATCTCCCCAGTAAAATGACAAGATTGGACACCAGTCTGTAACTTTTTAGATTCTTAAAACCCTCATTTCCTGGATCTTCATAGTTGACTCTTAATGAATTGGCTCAGAACCAGGCTCCACCAGTATGAAAATAGAACCCCAAAGCACTTCACTTTGGGTCATGTATTAATTTATGTAATGATCAAAGAAGAATCAGCCAATCCTTTCTGTTAAGTTTCTTAAAGCCTTTGACCTTTTCACTGTTTATAGTAGAGGTCCCATGTGATTTTGTTTTTATTTTTGTTTTTTTGTTGTTAAGGATGAGGCATTTAATTTGAAATCAAGGCAGGTAGTTTGCAAAGGACATAAAATTATCCTCATTGTTGGGGTTGGTGTTAACTGCTTGAGGTTTGATTAAAAAAAAAAAAATAAGAGCCCCCTCTCCTAGAAGCCATTGGGGAAATGAGAATTTCAGGATGGACAAAAAATGCAGCAATCAACTGAGAAAAGTCAGGGAACCAGAATGGTTGTAACTGAGGAAATCCAGTTTTAGCAAGTTTTTAAAAGCAAATTCCATTTGATGTTTTACATTTTCTTGATAAGTTAATAAAGGACCTGTCAAAGGAGTTGCAGAACTTTCACCTAGTGAGAGAATTTGTCATTTGTCTCTGAACAGTGGGGGAAGATCAATGTGTTTGCTTGTAGTTCCTTGTGTAGTTGCAATTCTGAAGACAAATGTCTGCCAGGAGGAATTTGGAGCAGTCTCCAAACACTGGTGGAACTCTGCTGGGGACCAGGCTCCCTGCTAGGCTCAAAGTGGGTTGTGTAGGTGGGGGAGCACAATCCTGCCCCCAAAGGAGTTCCTCCTAAAAGGGAAGCTGGTGTCTTAGAGTGTCAACAAAACACTATAATACCTGGAATCTGGCCACCAGCTGTCACCTGAAGGGAGCCACTTCTCCCTGCTCTGTGCTTCTGTCCCTGAGGTGGTCTGCTTCACACTTTCAACTGCAGCTGTTTCCCATGAGGCAGCCAGAGGGATCAGACCTTTGGCACCACAAGCCAGTTTTGCTAGCTTCAGGTCCACAGCACATTACTGATCTGCAAGAGACATCCTCACTCATTCACCGTGTCCTTGCAGGCGAATATTGCCCCTCCCCTCCCCTCTGCTGGGCCCCCCAGCACTCACCACTGGCTCCTTAGAAGCCAGCTTCTTTGGAAAGCTGTGGTGAAGAATGTTGTGTGGCAAAATCACAGTGGTTCTTCTCTTTCATACCTTGATCGCTCTCCCAGCCTCCACATCTCTTTTATGTCAGTGAGGGACCCTGCCACGGTGTCTAAACTTGCAACTTGCCTCCTCCCGATGGCCCGGAATCTTCCTTGACATACTCCCATTGCACTTCGAAGCCTCCTGTCCATTGCACCGTCTATTAACAGCGTTCTTCCTCTGCTGAAGAGAAAGCCCCAAGAAGGCAGGAGCGTTATTTTTGTTAAATGGTGTTCAATTTAGAACAGTCTAGAATGATATCTGGCACACACTAATTATTTGCTGAATGAGTGAGCAGGGAGGAGACTAATTCTGTGGGACAGTTGTAAGGAGAGAACCTTGGATCTGGGCATGAAGGACGATGGGCAGACTGTGACCACCAGCCTTTCCAGACCAAGGTCACAAAGGTGAAAATGCGGTGGCACCACCAGCACTCCATATGCAGTTCCACCTGACAGGTGTGTGGGGGAGGGCCACAGCACTGGAGGGTTGGAATATTAATGGATAGAAAATAGCGTCCGAGAACTCGTAGAGGAGTAAAGGAACAGATTTCTAGTAACTACTGTTACGTACATGGCAAGAAAGCTGGTGATAGGAATCAGAGAGCTGGACACCAATGTGGTGCATACCCCGGACACACTCACTCAAGAAGTCACTAATGCAAACCGAGTTTGCCGATGAGATCTGATTTCTGTTTTCAAAACATGGTCACATGCTTATTGGAACTTAAGCTTCATGACCACTGACCAAGAGAGTGTGGCAGGCAGTGTTTACATGCCAGAGGAGCCTTATTAAAAACTGAATTGCATCTCATACTGGAGGAAATGGAGACTCAAACCACCTAGGTGATCTCCCTGAGATTACTGGGCTAGAACTGGGGGTGAGGGTGGGGTGTGGAGTGTGGGGTGGGGGCAGCTTCCTGGCTCTGCAGACTGCTCTCCAATGCTGACACTGTCCAAAGGGTAACTGCTTGGTGTTTGCAAGCAAGCCTTTGAGCTTATTTTGCTTTCCCCACTCACAGAAAGCAGTGGGGTTTTCATCTAGCCACTTCTTTGCTGGTCACATTTTTTCTCTTCTCTTTGTCTAGTTCAGTTCCTACCGAATTGCTGCTGGAAAGACAAACTCGCCATGTGCTGGTGTTTCTGTCTTTGCCTGTTTAGCGTGCTTACCTTGAATCAGCACTTGGCATTGCTGGCTTTTTTGTGGTTCTTGAGTGGAAGAAAAGAGAGTGCATGCCACCACCCCCTTTTGAGTGTCTCAAACCAACTGGCCATTCTCTTTGGGAATAACCTGGTCTTCTTGATTCCCCCAGATGTTAGTAGGCAGGCCGAAGCCGAGGGAGAGTTCAGCGAAGGAGAACCCTGGTATGGGAACTCTTCAGAGACACCATCAGAGGCATCCTATGGGGAAGTCCAGGAGAACTATACACTGTCCCTGGAGGACCGGATCCAAGAGCAGTCCACATCCCCTGACACCTCTCTGGGCAGCGCCACCCCCAGCAGCCATACGCTGGAGCTGGTGGCACTGGATGGTGAGATCCTTCGAGACTCACTGCAGTGTCAAGACCACCTTTCTCCTGGAGTCTCTTCTGTGTGTGACGATGACCCACCTAGTTCCAATAAACCTCTGAGCAGCAACCTGAGGCGGCTGCTGGAAGCTGGGTCCCTTAAACTCGATGCCACAGCCAATGGCAGGGTGGAGTCCCCTGTGAACATTGGTTCCAGTCTGTCATTCTCCCCACCCTCCCACCATGCCCAGCAACTCAGTGTCCTGGCCAGGAAGCTGGCAGAGAAGCAGGATCAGAATGACCAATATACCCCAAGTAACCGTTTCATATGGAATCAAGGTAAGTGGTTGCCAAACTCAACCACCACCTGTGGCCTCTCCCCAGATTCGGCCATCCTCAAACTGAAAGCCGCAGCCAATGCTGTTCTGCAGGACAAGTCCCTGTCCCGGACAGAGGAGAGCCTGAGGTTTGAGTCCTTTTCCTCCCCCTTCAGCTCCCAGTCTGCCAGCTCCACCTTGGCAGCTTTGTCTAAGAAAGTGAGTGAGAGAAGTCTAACCCCGGGTCAGGAGCACCCGCCCCCAGCCAGTTCTTTCCTGTCGTTGGCCTCCATGACATCCTCTGCAGCCCTTCTGAAAGAAGTGGCTGCCAGGGCAGCAGGGAGCCTCCTGGCTGAGAAGTCATCCTTGTTGCCCGACGACCCCCTACCACTGCCGCCTTCTGAGAAGAAGCCAGAAAAAGTCACTCCACCACCGCCACCACCTCCTCCGTCCGCACAGCCTCAATCCTTGGAATTATTGTTACTTCCAGTTTCCAAGGGAAGAGTCTCCAAGCCCTCCAATTCAGGTATGGAATCTGGTTCAGCCATGGCGTGGGTCGCTTTGTCTGTGGGACTCCCCATCTAAGATGAGGTAGAATCAAAAAGCAAGAACACAACAAAATACTTAAAATGGACAGCATAATAGTCTTTCATGTGTGCGCTACACAAAGCCTTCACAAATAGCTGTGGTTTTTGAAAAGTAATGAATAATTTTAGCGATGTGCAGAACTCCCTCTCTTTCATGCACCCCTCCCCCACCCCTTACTGAGTTCAGACTAGGTCCATACCAGATACATTTAATAGGGGAAGATCAAAGCGCTTCTGTCAGAGTGCAAGGCGTCAGTGAACACAGAGGGGGAAAACACTGCTTTTGAAATAGTGGACAAGGGGAGGCCCTGCTGCCTCTGTCACAAATGGACTTTTGTGTAATCAGTGACTGCCCTGCCCTAATTGATCACAGCACACACCTTTATGTTAGCATTTTTATTACTTTTTTTTTTTTTTGTGGAACTTAAGCTTTGTTCACCTATCCTATTCACCTGTAATTTCTTGTCAAACAGAAAGCAAGAATTTCTTGTACATGCTTCATTTTGGCCAAATCCATTCAGATATGAAAGACTGTGTACGAGGTAGTGTAAGAAGGTCTTTTCCTGAGACATTGCTATCCCATAGAACCCTGGCACTCTCTGAGGGAGAGGTTTAGTCACTACCATGCCACCATGGCAATGTGATTTCATGCACTGGTTTGCTTCAAAACTGCCTTTATGATAAATACCTGTTGTTGGGATGGGGTAATTTCAGATGCTTCTCAAGGATATCCTGCGAAACAGGAACAGCAAGTAGGCCGTGTCCTGTCCTCGCTATACAGATAGCCATTGTGTGTCCTGGCATCTGTCAATCATTTGCAGCTGCATTGGTGAAATGCGCTTGTGATGGCAGACCCTCAGTGATCAGCATCAATTCGGTTACATGACACATGGCCATTTAAGTTATTCAGTGAGCTAAGTACTGTAATTGTCATCGCTTTCAGACCTATGTAGGGTCAGCAGGTTGGCTCTGTAGGTAAAGATGCCTGCCACTAACCCAGCCACCTGAGTTTGATCCCTAGAACCCAGATAATGAAAGTAGAACACAACTCCTGACAGTTGTCCTCTGACCTCCATGTACACAGCAAACACATGTCACATACATACATGCACACACGAGCCCACACACACACACACACACACACACACACACACACACACACACACACACACACACACGCCAGTAAGTGTAAAACAATGACAGCAATGACAAACTTTTGCAAACAAGTTAAGTATGGTGACCTGTCACCCCAGCATTTAGAAGGATTTCAGGTTTGAAACCAGGCTGGACTCAAAGAAGGACTCTGTCTACAAACAAACAAACAAACAAACAAACAAAAAAACCCTGTTGAACAGCAGGACAGAGGAAAATGAGTAACTGGGACTCTGACTCAAGCGAGGCCAGTGGTCCATTCCTGAGTTTCTGACTAGTCCTTTAAGTAACCAAATGCTTATTCATTCTGGGTTTCCCTTCTCCTAACTCTTCACCTTCCTTATGATGAAGGGGAAAGGACCAAAATGAGGAAGAGTGAGGGGGCTGGGTAATTTTCCAATGGATAAATCACTTCTGACTCAGAGTCATTTGGTTAGGGAGGCAAGACTGTATGTAAAATGCAGTTCTATCAACTGTCTCCTTTCTAAGAGGCAGTAGGTTTCTGAGTGATGTCTATATTATGCACCAGTCTGGGCATCAATTACTTGGAGAAGCATAGACACATTGAGGAGTGAACGGTAGTTAGTTGACTGGGGCTTGGAAAGAAATGACTGATAAAGCCAGTCTCCTGGAGGCACACTGTAGTCCCTTCATTATTTTAAAGTGTTCTTGGCTATAAAAGGCAAAAAATCATGAAAGAAAACTTTTTCACTCAAATAATAGGTGGATTTAGAAATGAGAAAGAAGTCACAACTATCCAAGACAAAGCTGGTCTTTTGTTTGTTTTGCTGTGGGATGTGGCCCTGAGGAGAGAAGACGAGCTCCCCTTTTAGTTTAGATGTACCAAGCCTTGCCAACATGCCTTTGGGCTTTTAACTAGAATTTCATGAGGGAGACTTGTAAGAGGTGTTACTATTTGAGTCATTGCAGGTTCAGATGTTCCATTGGAGAGGTAAAGGCAGAAGGATCAGAAGTTCAAGGTCATCCTTGGCTACATAATGGGTTTGAGGTTTAGCCTGGACTACATGAGACCCTATATCAGGGAAAAATAAAAGAAAAACTACCGTCAAACAAACACATACCACTCCAAGCCCCCAGCTCTGCAAAGAGGCCACAAAATCATACACTGCCCTGATTTCAAGAAGGATTTTTTTTTTTTTAAAGCTGTTTCTCAAAATGTTACAAAAAGGGCATATAAAGTTGTCTCTGGAGTTCCAAAGAGTTGTGAGCTAGGGAAGCTGATGCTGTCTCAAGTAATTTAGACACCAGACATTGCTTTGACCTTCTTTAGGTCAAGGGAGTCCAGATCATGAAAAAAATGGTGTCTCTTAGGTCTGGCTTTCTTCTTCATTTTTTTTTTTTTTTTTTTTTTTTTTTTTTTTGAGCAGGATTCTGTTGTTGCCAGGTTGTGGTATGTTGAATTCCTTGAGAGTCCAGTACTCGGTAGCCTTTCTGCCCCTCCAGAGAGATGTGACACTTGAGTGGGAGGCTTCTTTCATGTGACCTGCGCCCCCAGCACATGCTACACGGCTCCTCTGAAAGGGGACACGCTAGAGGGAAGATGATGTCCGTTTGCTATAAAGATAAATGTCACACATTGACTCAATTCTCTTTGAAGCCCCTGTTCTCTTGCAGCTCAGAATAAAATAAATGGTTTTGATTTTCAAGACAAAATTTCTTGTAGAAACCCAATGGGAGTTCCAGTGTGCCAGGCTCCTGCTTAAAGAAATAACAGGAAGCGTTTCAGAGAGAGGGTCTATGAAACGTCACCTTGCACTGACTAAAATTTACATAGACTTCAAGGCAACTTGGCCCCAAGAAGCTGACTGCTAAGGCTCTTTCAGGGTCATTCCATAAGGATTTTCTGGGCTGCTGTTTCCTTTCGTCTTTATTGGGGTGTTATTAAAATTATTGCAGATGCTACAAGGTCCAAGAGAACAGATGACCTCTCCCCATCTTCCCATTAGTTCCCCAGTTGTTACTGCCTCAATCCAGAGTGATTGCATATGCAAACTTGCTTAGGAAACTCAATTTTTAACAAGGATAGAATCTGTTTCTGTTCTCAAATGTGTTCAGAGAGATTTAAATGTAGCATGGCTGTAGATATCAGATTTCTTTCCTAGTTGTATTCAATGCTTGTTAAAACATGAATTGATAATGTCACATCCATAACAGTCTTGTTAGCTATTGCTATTTCCACCCCTACCTCTTGTCTGCCGAAATGGCATTTGAGAGACATGCCCAAGAAATTTCATTACAAGATTTAAAGTCTGGGCTGTGGTTGTATTGAGGTTGGAAGACTGGGGTTTGATCCCCGGTCCCACATCACCTGAGCGAGGTGGTATATACCTGTAAAGCCAGTACTCTAAAAGTGGAGGCAGGAGGGTCAGAAGTTCAAAGTCTTCTTCAGCTGTATAACAAGTCTGCAGGCAGCTAGAGCTACAAGAGACCCTGTCTCACAAAACAAATCAACCTCAAGAGAACCAAAAGATTTTTAAAAATCTGTATGTTGTTAGAAAGGAAGGTTCATCATACACACATATGCACCAGTCAAGTTCATGGGTCTAAAGTGTTGGTAATAATGTAATGTGCATGGATTATGTACATACAGGCTTTCCTGGTTCTTCGAGCACCAGTTACCCAATTGTGAATTATCTTGACTGCTGGCACATCTAGCATAGTATCTAACCAGAAGTACTTAATTTCAAAGCCTACAAAAACCTTGAATTTGTTTTAATAATACCTTAAATAATAAAACCTTCCATGATTGATTATTGCTATTATTATTTAGCTCCATGAAGTTCCGTTTTCATTGCTTTGTGGATTGATATGTTGACAATAGGACAGAACACCAAACTGAAAATTAAGAGGTAGGCTCCGATCTCAGCCCTGTCTCTTGGTAGCTGGACTTCAAGCCCCCAACCCCTTCGCCATTTCTGTTTCATTATTTGCAAACTAAGTTGTTAGCATTGTCCTGGGATCCCATCCTGTTGTAACATCCCTTTCATTTACTTACTGCTAATTTTCTAACTCTCTCCACTAATTCTCTAACAAGCTGCCTCCTCCTCCTTCTTGTTCCTCTTCTTCTGAATTAAGGTCATGTCTTCTTTCCTCCCAGAGCTTCCTGTCAAATCTCCAGTGAGAACATTGTTTCCGTTTTGTGAAGAACCTGTTCATTATGATAGTTCAGTGTGTGTCATTCAACTCCACTGGTGATCCATGTTTCATATAAGATGCTTTGAGTTTGCTTTTGGAAGTAGCTGAGGTGTAAATGCATGAGCACATACCTGTTTACATCCATCCATTTTCCAGGACCATTTCTGCTCATACCATGTTACTGTCCTGGACTTGGGGCTCCATGCTGGCCCCATAAGGGCTTACCTGCAGCCTGCCTCATCTCCCTTCTATTCCCAGCTCTCATTTATTCATTCTCACAACTGTCTCTGCCCATCCCTTTGCACTTAGCATCATTACAGTCCAGCACGATTACTGAGTTGTGTGTTGAAGTTGGCACTGTGGAGCTTTGGTGACACACAGGTAGGGTGCCCCAGCCACACACCCCTTCCCCTTCTTTTCCCCCTCCCTCTTCCTTCTTCCATAGGTATTTGATCATCTAAAGCTTGTCTAGGCTGAGCTGCACAGTGGGCTCCTTGTCCTTATTTCCTCAGGGCTCTAGCCACAGGTCCCATGTTAGGCCAGGTTCTGTTCTGTGTATTCACAGCTGTTATTTGCATCTGCTCTGAGGGTGGGTTTTCTGCCTGGGAGGGTGTGTCTATAGTCCACCATCATTGCTAACACAACAACCTGCCACTACTAAGTTCTATTGACTGAGGTTGTCTTCTATCTCACTGTTGTTGTCTGTATAGTGAGCATGTTTTCTCCAATGGAGTACATTAGCTCTTCTCTGTCCCACTGGATCTATTAGCATCAGGTGGAATGTAGTTTTGTTTGCAGTGATGTATTTGAGGGGACTTGTTTGCTAGGCAGTTGCAAACTAGATAAAATCATGAATATTGCTTCCAAAATATGTGGTTCATCCTGGGGATGAAGCCTGTATTTCCCCAGGCTTTAAATCTGAGCAGAAGTTACAGCAAACAGTTTGGCATATAAAAGAAACTGCATCTTCCTCCCCATGCCTTGTCATTAACAGCATCACGTACACATGGGATGTGTCCTAAAATGTGAATTTCTTTCTTGAATAAATAAAAAATGGAAATGTCACCAGGAGCTGATTACTGGCACAGTCTGAAAATCACTCAGTGCATTCTGGTGACTTTTTTCATTTGGCTTCTGTCTTCCTTTCCTTCCACGATAGCTTAAAGTTCCAAACAGAGAGCTGGGAAGATGGTTCAGTTAAAGAGCTTGTTGCACAAGCATAAGGACTTGAGTTTGCTCCCGCAGAACCCCCATAAAAGTATGTACCTTTGTAATCCCAGTGCCAGGGAGGCTAAGACAGGCAGATCCAAAAGATTCACTGCCAGCACTCTGTTGACTGGGCTAGATCCAGGTCCAGGAGAAAGTTCTACTAAGCAAATAAGGTGGAAAATGACCAAGGAAAACACGTGACCTCCACAAGCACACTCATACACGACTGCACACACACATACAACACACAAAATTCCAAATAGATACGAGTTTAGATATTTTTCAGTCAGTGTCTTTTCATTATTGTATTTTCCCTAGTCTACCCAAGAACACTGTAATTTGTAAGTGATTCATATGTATGTTGGTGCTAATTAAAACTAAAGCAGCATAGTTTCAAGATGAAATAAATGGATTTATGTGGAGTATTAATATGCAGGGTTTATTATATTTATGCATTATTTATTTATGGAATCAACTGAGGTCCTACATATGAAGGCTCCAGAAAGATTCTGGAGTAGGCAAATGTGTTTCATGCAGTACACTTGAAACTACAGAGTTAAGATGGTGGCTGGGGAGGTGACCGAGTCCAGAAGAGCTGTTGCAAGCTGTAGCAAGACAAGGTGCTGGGGGAGTCTGCCAGTGTTCTTGGTGTCTTCCTCTGGTGTGCCAGAAGTTGCTGGCCTGTGGAGGAGGCCTCAGCTTTTCTTTTCTTTTCTTCCTTTGCTTGTTATGTAAAGTTAGCTTCTGGTTTCAATGGTGGGAAACACTCCCGTAAGGTAAGGACTGTTCACGGCCTGTTTGCGCATGTCCTGCATGTTACTCTGATGTCCTTTTGACCCAGAGTAGAAACCGTTATCACTTTCTCCCCCCATTGTGTGACAACAATCTCACCTAGAGTCCCAGTTCAGGCCTTTCTCCATAATTTGCTGTTCAATATGCAGGCTTTGGGGACCAAGATATCAGTATGGAGGAAACAGTGATGGAGAGAAAAGGTGGTGTGAAATTGGGGATGGGGTGAGATCAGCCTAGACAGTCAACACAGACAGGGGAAGCTCTGGGCCTGTCTTCGGTGTTTTCTCAGAGTAGGAACAATATCCAATGTCCATACCTGCTGCCAGTCAGCACAGCAGAAGTTGACTTTCCAATGTTGAAGGTGTCTTTTCAGTTAGAGGATGCCATTTCGAGTTGCTTGGTTAAGCCAACTGGTGTCACTCATACCTGTGTGAGTAAGATTGCAGTTTTGGATCTCCTAACCTTATTTCAGAGCCTTTCTTGTTCCATCCTTTTAAGTGGCTTTTGGCATGTAGAAACAGAGTTGACTTGATGAATAAATAATGAGATTATCTTAAAGTATGCACTTGGGAATATTTCCTTTAAAAATCACAGAAGTAATGTTTGTATTTAAAAGTTCAAATGGTACAGAAGGATGGAATGGGAACACATGTGTCCCCCAACATGTGCCCCAACTCCTTCCTCTTAGCCACAGTTCTACTGTTTTTGCTGTTTAGAGGTTTCTGGAGTGAATTTAGTGCATTCTCATACAGTAAAAAGATGTCAGGTTTTCTTTGTTGTTGTTGTTGTTAGCTTCCTGTAGTTATGCTTTTCTTCCCACTTCCCCAGTTTCTTTCTTGCTCCAGTATTTCAAAACAGAGAAAAAGTCGTATCTGTTTGCTTGTAAATACTTGAAGATGTGTAGATACAATAGGGGAGGACCACCACAGTTCCACCACCCCAGCTAAAGAACCAATCATTGCTGCAGGGCATTAGGGAGCCATCTTCTCTGTGGTTCCCTGTCTGACCTTCCATTTGTTTTTGCGTATTCCTTTTTCTTTTCTTTTTAACCATAATTCCTTCCTGTGTGTGTGTGTGTGTGTGTGTGTGTGTGTGTGTGCGTGCGCGCGTGCATGCACACACACACACACACACACACACTAAAAAAACACATGTAGGAGTGTGTGTCAAAGCCAGAGGCCTCTGATGCATATCTTCTGATATGCCATCTCTGAATTATTGTCAGAAAAATGTAATCAAGCCTTAAACTAGCAGTTTGTCAGAAATAGAAGTAATAATAATTTAAAGAGCCAAACATACTGTGGGAATGCAGTCAGTCATACAGCACGTGGGATTCCTCGGGATAAATGCCCCGGTTTCTTTCCACATGAATGCAGTGAGTGGAGGGGCCTCAGTCTGTAAAGCTCTTGCCTCTTAAGTGTGAGAACCCAAGCTAGGATCCAGCACTTGTGTAAAAGCCAGCCATGGCAGTGCACACCTATAATCTCATTGCTGGGAAAGCAGAGGCAGGAGGATCCCTGGAGCTCACTGGCCAGTCAGCCAGGACAGTAAGTTTCAAGTAAATAAAAAGAAATTGGGGGTGTATTTCAATGGCAGAGAAGGCCTAGGTTCAACTCCAGCTCTACCCCTAGAGACAGACAGACAGACAGACAGACAGACAGACAGACAGACAGACACACACACACACACACACACACACACACACACCCTTCAACTATACCAATTTTAACTCTCCACACCCCCAAATTGTAGAGGTTAGTTGAGGGGTTGGAAATTCAGAGACACTTCCTTGTGGTGGTAGGGCAGGAGACAGATTGGAGCTTTACTTAGAGGAAGCAGTTAGTTTGTTTGCTTCCCTGAAAATTGGAAGTGTTTGTCATGGCCTGGTGTGTCCCTTCCTACAGTAGGTACCCAGGCCCTGTACAAATCAGAGAAAGTCAGTATACATTAATGGAGGCAAGCAGAGGTACATAAGACATAAGAGGATAAGAGAGAGAGAGAGAGAGAGAGAGAGAGAGAGAGAGAGAGAGAGAGAGAGACCAAACCAAAAAAAATCTCTGACCTGAGGACCCCCGATGGCTAAATTGGCAGCTGCTTCTGTCTGCACAAGCCACAGCTAAACAAGCCATCAGTGGGATGCTGAGATGTCTCCACTGGAGGCCAGTGTGTAAGGTTTCTGCTAGCTGTTTGGTTTTTCTGTATGGAACAGTGTGTTATTCTCTGTTCCATGCTATTGCCTTTATTTCTCACTCATTCCAGAGTAGGAATTTAAACATAGACTCAGACTTCTCTGGCTGTGGGTACTTTTGGGACCAGGCTCAGCTCCTGTATAGATGTCCTGTGAATATATGACAGCCTTTGGGAGTGAGGCTATCATAGGTAGGATGACCAGTGGTGGCCAGATGGAACCCTATGGAAGTCTAGCTGAATGTGGATTTCTCCCTAAAGAAAAGTGGCCTTAAAACTTTCCCCATGGTTATAATCTTAGAATTGCCAAAGGGGGTGGCACCAGAGTCATTTTGAATGCTTTTTAATATAGTGATACATGTGTTTACCATCAGACGCAATGTGTCTTTTGTTTTCCTTAATACTCCCATTTTTCTTCCCTTTTCCAAGCCCCAGAAGAAGAGAGCGGGAAGCCTTTCCAATGTCCAATATGTGGTTTGGTCATAAAAAGGAAGAGTTACTGGAAGCGGCATATGGTCATTCACACAGGTTTAAAAAGTCATCAATGTCCACTCTGTCCATTCCGGTGTGCTCGCAAGGACAATCTCAAATCCCACATGAAGGTAAGCCATTTGTGGATGGGATGGAGGGCTGCTTCCCATTACCCACTGCCCAGCTTCTGGCAGACATGGGGCACTGTGTTGGAACCTGCCCAAGAATGCTAGGCTGGGTTGTGAGGAGAATGGAGAGGGTCTTCCTTCCTCAAGGAGGATCTACATCTTAGGATCAAGTTCTTGAGACTATTGGTGTTTGAAGTAGCATCTTTTGTGGTGACCCCAAACATCCAAGGACATCCCTTCCTTCCTTCCTTCCTCTCTTCCTTCCTTCCTGCCTTCCTTCCTTCCTTCCTTCCTATCCTTCCTTCCTTCCTTTTTGTCTCTTTCTTTCTTTCTTTCTTTCTTTCTTTCTTTCTTTCTTTCTTTCTTTCTTTCTTCCTTTCTTTCTTTCAGACAGAGTTTCTCTGTATAGTCTTGGCTGCCCTGGAACTTGCTCTGAGGATCAGGCTGGCCTCAAACTCAGATCCGCCTGCCTCTGCCTCCTGAGTGTTTGGTTAAAGGCGTGTGCCATCACTGTCTGGCTTGCATCATTTTCAGTGTCTTATTAAAAACAGTTGTGGGATCTGGGGAAGGCTCAGCAGTTAATCACTTCACAGGTTAGCATGAGACCAAGTTCCAATTCCCAGAAACCATTGTAAGTGGTGGGCAGGGTGTAGCTCATTCCTCGTAATCCCACCGTTGAAGGGGGAAGACAGGATTCCCCAGAGAAAGCTGGATAGGTAAGACTAGCCATATCAGCTAGCTCTGGTTTGATTGAAAAACCTTGCTTCAAGAATAAGGTAGACGAGTGATCAAGGACCCTGACCTCAGTGTGGGGCTTCCACACATGCACACGTGCGTCCATACACCACACACATGAAAAATGGAAAAAGGGGCTGGAGAGATGGCTCAGTGGTTAAGAGCACTGACTTCTCTTCCAGAGGACCGGGGTTCGACTCCCACTGCCCACGTGGCAGCTCACAACTGTCTCAGTTCCTGTTTCAAGGGATCCTACCCCCTCATACAGACATTCATGCAGGTAAAACACCAGTGTACATAAAATAAAAACAAATAAATTTAAAAAAGGAAAACAGAAAATAGGTGGAAACAACAAAAACCATTTGGGAAGCTCATACCTGCCATACTCCTTTAGAGAGCGCACTAGGATCCATGTTCAGAAATGAGGGAGCCTGGCAATGTAAAAATAGCTCTTTATATATCAAGCTTTTGTTTCAGCTTCAGGGGTGGGATGGGAAACTCATGAGGTCACGAGAGCTTGAAGTTTTGAATTTGGCAAAGACCTGAACTGAAATCCTTCCGGCTCTGCACTAGCCAAACAGGCTCTCAGTTTTCCTTTCTACGAAATGGGAAGGCACAGACACAGGAGCCATCCTTCGTGTTACAGGAGACAACAGTAGCAAAGTGGCTGATCTAAGGTGTTCATAATCATCACCTGGCATCTTCACGTATGATGACTCTCATTGGCTTAGCTGTGATATCATGGATAAAGTGTCTCTTCTCCCAGGAGAAGTCTAGTGGATATTTGCTAATGACGAGGTCTTGCATTTGAGTCTTTCTGCATAGATCAGTAATTGCTGATCAGAACTGAAGCTCTAGAAAGTGCAGTCACACAACATTTCTATTATCTATAGGAAATAGCTTAGAAAATTTAAAAGAAGTAAGTCCATGATGAAATTTTTTTTCTATCATTTGCCTTTTTCTCCTAGGGCTAGAGGCTGGTGGCTAGCCCTTCATCTTCAGAACTCATTTAAGTAGGACTTCTGGTTGACCGAATTTTACGGAGGCTATTTGGTTATTACCTTAGCCCTCCTCATCCTCAGTCTCCTCTTCCCTAGGTAAAACCTCACACTTTCAACCTGTAGTTGAGACTTCAAAAGGAACTTGCTTTAGCAGCTGGGTCCTAAGCTGTGCTTAGAAATCAGGCCTGGTGAATTTCAGGCTTCAGCGAGCAGAAAACTTGCATCTACCCTGACACCTTGTAAACTTGGTTTCAGCGCAGGGTCACTTAAAACAACCTATTTATAAACCCATGGAAGAAAGACTGGGATTCAATAGCAGGGACTGCTGACCCTGACGCTACAGGGAGATGAGCTGGTGCCTTGATGGCAGAGGCAGACGGCCATGACAGTGCTGCAGATGAGAGCTGCCTGGGCTCGGCGGGTCATGGGGTCCTGAGTGCTTTCAGAACAAATCAATAACCACTACAATAAAGCAGTTGTGTGAAATAGCTACTTTATTCAAACTCATGGTGTCCTAACCTGTTGAGCTATGGCTCCTTTTGATAGGGAACTGTGAGAAGCGCTTATGCAAGTTTAATTTTATCAAAGGTGTACCTTCTTGTCCCTGCTCTCCTCCTCCTGTTGGCCTTAAAACACTTTTAATTGAATATAATGTAACTTTGCAGAGATTGGCAAGTATTTTCTCTGTAGGAATGCTATGGTCTTATGAATATGCTCACTCTGTTGCCTTTACCAGAGGCTGCAAATTCGGATAATTTTTTTTTAAGGAATTTTATCTGAGAAGTCGGGCAGTCTAGCCAAAGGTTAAGATCCAACTTTAACTTTGTGATAGTTCATGGCTCAGGAGCCATAAGCATTTAGTAGTATGGTTGAAACCCTATAAACCTCCATTACCACTAATGGAGAGAGCAAACATGGTCTTTCTCACTGGGTAAGAGTTAAATGAGGTTGTTCATGTGGAGCCTTGATACAGAGCCCCATGTGGAAAGGCAGCCATCAGTAAATACAGCTAATTCAGTAATCGTTATCCAAGCCATCTGAAAATACATTAATGTTTACATTTAGGGGTAATGAATGAAATGCTAGAAGAAATTACTCCAAAACAAGTTTTATGGCTTTCTAGTTTTTATGATCTATCTTTAGTGCTGAGAATTTACAAAAACTGATACAAAGAATATGAAATTGCCCATTGATCTCCTCCCACAGAAGTAGCCATTATCTTCAGGATATGTAACCCCCTATATCGATTATATTGTTTTATGTCATTTGTTCAACCAGTTGAGTACCTACTGTGCTCATACACAGGCCTAGGCACTGTAGGTTTTTGTAAGCCTGCATTTCCTCCATAATATACTGTGTAATTGCCTTTATGACCAGCTACACGAGGAGCTTGCAAATGCCTCCAGCTCCTTGGGGTCATCTTAGATTTCATGAAGTCTTCTGCAGCTTTCCCCAGTGAGCAAGCATACAGGAACTGTGTGTGAGAGTCATGAGCTAAAACTGGACGGGAAAGGCAAAGAGGGCAGTGAAGAGAGAGAACACTAATGAAGTAATGGGGTGGAACCGGGCCAGAGGTCACATGTGAGCTCTTGCCCTTCCAGGTCACCATTTAGAGAGCTGGGACCACTCATAAGAGCCTCTCCTGCATAGCCTGGTCCCCTAACAGGTTGGGTATACACAGTCTCCAGAATTTCTCCACGCCTTGAAATACTTCAACCCAAGTGTCCCACGTCTATTTATATAGGATATGGCCTTGATGTCACATCACCTGGTGCCTCTCAGTGAATCCAGTGAGACTATCATGACACTGGTCAGCATTTCTTCGCTTTAGGGGTCTAAGAGGGACTTGAAAGCACGTGTTGGGCTAAGGGGAATCAAAATTATAACAGAAGAGCTCTCTTCTATCAGCACAGGAGGGACATGTTGCCACTGGTGGTGGTAGGGACAGTGCCTCTCTCAAAGGCCACATTTAAGCCAAATTTCAAGTGGGAAGGTGTAGCTCAAATAAAATTACATGTGCCAAAGTAAACCCAGTTTTATTTTTTTGCCTTCCAACTTACATTAGTTTCCCTAAAACTAAGTACAACAAAGCCAGGTTGAGGTAGAAAAGGAACCACAAGAATCTTGTCTCTTTTCATTGTCCTTCCCCTATCCCATGATTTTGGAACCTGGGCTCTCATCTTTGCCATTTCTTCTTCCGGCACAGCGTTTGGAGCTTCTGTTCTTGGATTAGCTCCTCTCTAGGCTCAGTAGATGTGAGCACACCTCTGAAATGGAATCTGCCCGGTGGCACTGGGCTCAGGGACATAGAGGCTTCCTGCCCGGTGGGTGACCTTTACCATGTGGCTCTGGACATGCCGATGCTGATACCTGTCAGGAGTCCTTGAGACTGTGACCTGAGACCTCCAAGAGACCTCTTCCTGAGTGACCTTGGCTGAGGAGCTGGTGGGGGAGCTTCTGGATCCTGTGAGAATGGGAATGAAAGGATCAGTGCCCAGAGAACAGGAAGGGGCTCTGCTGTGAGGGACAGGTCATTTCCTCACCTCCACCCTCTGCTGGGGTACAGGCGAAGCCTTTTAATGGGCAGGACTCTGTCACAATTGCATTTAAGTTTTTACCTTTGTTTCTGTTGAGAAACACAGGCTTTGAGGGGCCTGGAATATCTTTTGTTGTTTTTTGCAAAAAGCCACAGTGGGGTGCTGTGGCAGCGGGATCTCATGATTAACTTTTAATTTCTTTGCTTTTGTTGGTCACTTAACATTATTTAAAGTGTGTTTTGGCTGGTGAAGAATGCTTTTGGATCTCATTCAGAAGGCATAAACAGCTGAGTAAAACTTGCTCTCTTGGAAACGAGACCTGAGCAAAGTGGCCAGGTGGTACAGAAGATGAGCAAATGAGCCTTTAGCTTCACTGAGACCCAGGTTCAAATCCCACTCAGGTCACCCCTGACCTATGGGGTGTCAGTTTCATTTTGAGTGCCAATTGCTTACGTTCTTGTTTGTCCAGAGCACACGACTCCCCCAAATCATTTGGACTAGATCTACACCATTGGCAGTTCCTACTCAAGGGAGGGCCAGTCCTGAAATAACAGGGTGTAGCGGGTCAGTGTTGAAGCACGCTGGCGAGATGAATGGGGAAGTCACAAGCTTATGAATATCTGCCAGCTCGGAGCCTGGCTCAGCCAATGCAATGATTTCCTCACTTTTTCAAGCACTAAATTTGGTAGTGACAGGAAGAAAGAAAAGTTTCTCGACATTTTAACAGGTACAGGCAGGTTTGGAGCTGGACAGGAAAGGCTGTTGTTACTCATCACTGCAGACATCCTCCAGACCCCCTGGCGTCCCCTGGCCCAGAGAGGGTCTTTCTCCTGTTTTCCTTTCTTCAACTGGGTTCAAGACACTTCTTGGGGGTAGGGGTGTTCCATCTCCCCATTTGTGAAGGGGCAATACCCTGGAGACATGTTTTTTCCATTGTGTGGGCAAAGCAGCTGCTTTTCTGGATTGTTGTCATAAGAATTTCGTGAAAGGTTATGCCTTTTGATCCCTGACTGCTGATGACATAAGTTCACGAGGTCTATCAAGGGAGATCATGTGACTAGCTCATTAGAAAGCTTCAACCCAAGACAGCATTGAGGCTGTCAGGATAGATGCTTAACCTCCACAGGCCCACTGGGGTTGCAGGAGTGACTTTAGTGCTCTTCTTCCCTGGGTCTGTGTGGGGCAGGACTTAGTGATGAACAACCGGTTAAACTCTTGTTGCTTTTCCGTTAGGTTCATCAGCACCAGGACCGGGGAGAGACCTTTCAGTGCCAGCTGTGCCCTTTCACTTCTTCACGCCACTTCAGCCTGAAGCTGCATATGCGTTGCCATCAGCACTTCCTGAGGACAGAGGCCAAGGTGAAGGAGGAGATCCCAGACCCAGATGTCAAGGGATCTCCCCACCTCAGTGACAGTGGCTGCCTGGGGCAGCCGAGGGAAGGAGGAGGGACAGAGCTAGTGGGGACCGTGATGACGTCTAATACTCCAGAGAGGACTGGCCAGGGTGGGGCTGGCGTTGCACCTTTGCTGGTGAAGGAGGAGCCCAAGGAAGATAACGGCCTGCCCACCTCCTTTACCCTGAATGCTGCCGACAGGCCCGCCAACCACACAAAGCTGAAAGACCCCTCCGAGTATGTGTCCAACAGTGCGGCAGCATTGTTCAGCCAGGACATCTCGGTTAAGATGGCCTCCGATTTTCTCATGAAGCTGTCAGGTACTTGCCTAGGGTTGTGTTCTCTTTTCTCATCTGTACAATAAGATGATAGGGCTGGATGATTTCAAGGCTCCTTGAGCTCTAAGCCTTCATAATTTGATACATTTTCTTTTTCCTTCCCTCTCTCCTTTACCCCATCCCTCATATATACATATATTGTTTTGGTATTCCTCTGAAAACAGTCATTACTTCTGCTTGGGTCTGGAAACAATAGGGATTGCCCCCTACTCCTGCCCGGATTTGGGCTCTTACTTGGGGGCGCTCAGGCGTTTGTTTCTTTTGCTTCCTGCAACCTTGGGTTTTAGTTACCTTGCTTGCTTTGCGCTGAGGTCTCTGAAGTGTGTCTGCGTGCATCTCCCCCCCCCTTTTTTTTGATATTCAGTGTCTCTACTGTTTTAATTGCAAAGCTTTTTGAAGAATATATACAAAGTTTACCATGAAGAATTACAGATGTTTCATAGACAAAGGTTAAGGGTTATCATGAGTTTCTTAGGATCTTTGTGTTGGGGTAAAACATATTTCAGATATCCTGGTTTAGATATTTTAAGGGTGTGCATTTTAGTGGCATTAACATTTACATTGTGTGTAACCATTTCTGGAAATGTGTCACACTCTCAAACTGTATCATTAAATGACAGAGTTGCTGCCAGTCCTCTCCTCGGCCTCTACTAACCACTGTGTTACCTTCTACCTTATGAACTTGACCATTGTAAGCACCCCAGTAAAGTGGAATGTAAGCAAAAAATTGAAACATCATTCCCAACTGTTCTAATGCCTTTTGAAAAGAGGACGATGCATGTTATAAAAATACATCTTGCTAAGAGACATTGTTTTCCATTCCCTGCACACCGTACATGTTTTTACTTTTCAATGACTGATGAACTAGTGATGTTTCACTGGGGTGGAGCATTGGTAGATGTTTTTCATATTCTCTTGGAGCAATAACGCATGTAGGCCTATGCTGTTTTTGAAAATACAGTTTTAAATTTTAAAGGCATTGTAGAGGGTGGAGAAAGGTCGGTTGAGAATGGGTTCTGTCTGTCAGTGAAGGTGGCAGTCCCCAGGATGATTTCCAAATGCCATTTCAGCTCTCTGGAGATTGACAATACCCTTTAAATGGAGAATAATTGGTCACCGCCTTCCTTTAAATGGACCATGCGTCGTATTTCACTAAATGTCACTGCCAGGTGAATGAGAGGCTCAGCTTCACTCTGAAGTCCCTTTGCTCTGTGACACTTCAGTCAGGTCTTTGCAAATGTACTTCCTCACCCTGATCTTTGTCCCTCAGCAGTGGGAGACATGAGTAGGGTAGGGGTGACAGAAGAGGGAAGGGATGAAAAATCAGGCATCCAAGAAATGATCCAAGATGGAAGGGAGCAGGGGGGAGGTTATAGGATGTGCTGTAGCACTATGAAGATGCTCCGCTCCGCTGACAGGACCAGTCTCAGGTGTTTATTTCATCTGGCCCAGGTTTCCATTTCTCCCCTTCTTGTCTCTCCTTTTTCATCTCAGTATCAGGGAAAACAGGATTCTACATACTCAGCAATATATATATATATATCAAAATATGAGGAAAACGGGTGTTTTCCTTGTACCTTCCGGTTCCTTTAGGATGTTATCTGTAGGGGATCCATACATGGTGGTGATCATTTACAATCCCAAGACTTGGGAGAAGGACAAACTAGGCTGTATGAAACCCTGTCTCCCCAAACCATAACATAACAATGAAAAAAACATGATGTTCTCTATGGGTATCTCCTTTTCTGGGCTTTATTGTGTAATCTCAGGAGACAGACATCAAATGCCATATTCATTTAGCATAGCTTAGCATGGTGAATGTTTCCTTACTGAGTAGGGGGTGCATAGCATGTCGTAAGGTGGGGTCCCTTTCACTCGGAATCCAGATCCTTTCAGGGTTGCCTGGCAGGCTTGATCTGGGGATGAAACACTGGTGTCTGATACTGTGCTCCCGCTGGCCTTAGCTCTGAGCAGTAGCCCTTTCCATCCCACCAGACACTGTGCTGTGGTTATTACCTCCAGCGCTTCTCAGTGAGCATGAGAAAAGGCTTCCACTGCTCAGAGCCAGAGCATAGAACAGCAGAGGCAGAGGGAGAAGCAGTTTGTAGGTTGGGGTGAAGCATGTCTGTTGTTTTCTTGTTGATGGGGAGTTGCTTATGGTTTGGCCATGGGAGAATTTACCAACTGATCAATTGGTATAAGAAAACAGATAGCAAGGCACACTGTTTATGCAAAAGGCCCATGCAGCTGTTTTATGGTGGCTTACTAGAGGTCCTGAAACCTGACTTGTATGCACTGTTACCTAGCAACCTGTTATAAAGTCACCAGGGAGTGAGATGCATCGGTAATTTTTTTGTGTGCATATTTGGATGTAAATGTAAACTTGGTGACTGTGGCAGTGCTGCTCACGGGAGGAGAAGTTATGTTAAAAGGAGAGGAATATTTTTCTGCAGACCCCCTCCCCCCCACTAGCTGGGTGGTTGGTCCTGCTCTGCTGCTGATTGCTGTGCTTGCTGTGTGGGCTCTACCTGGATCTCTTAGTGGCTGTCAATCAGCGACGGACACAATTCCAGGGAGCTATGGCTGAGTTTCTAGCTCTTCTTGCCCTCAAATGGTGTGGACTAGTGGTTAGGTCCAGGCCCTGTCCCTTGGTGTCATAATGGCGCCATTGTTCTTGCACTGATTTTTTTTTCCTTAGGGCTCTGTTCTTGCACCTGCTGGTACGATAGGGTGCAGCTGTTTGTGGACACTGAGTCTGGGAGTTTCAGTGCCAGTTCACGGTCTGCAAAAACCGGAGCGCAATGACAAATTCAAGCGTGGAGACATGTACTTGTTTCTAAAAAAGAGAGAGGAAAACCCTTGATGCTTTTTGCTCCTTTGACTAAAATCAAGCCTAAAACTGACTGACTGGAGCCCACTGAGGTTCACAGTCACTGGGTAGGCTGCAGTTTAAATACACTCTAACCCAGCATTCTCAGCCTGTGGGGCTTGCATACCAGATATCCTGGGTATCAGATATTTACATCATGATTCATGACTCTAGCAAAATTACAGTTGTGAAGTAGCAATGAAATAACTACATGGTTGGGGTCACCACAACATGAGGAAATGTATTAAAGGGTCACAGCATTAGGAAGGTTGAGAACCATAGCAACCCTCCCCCAGTTTGGAGGGTTCCTGGTTACTTGCTTGTGAAATAAAACCCCTTCTCTGAACCTCCACTCTTTTCCCCACTGAATCCTGACAGCATTCTCTGTCCTGTGAGGAGAGTGTTGTCCCCTAGACCCAGGCTCACCCTCATGGTTGATTTAGCCTAACTGCTAGCTTTTTGCGTTGCTGGGGAAAAAATAATTTTGTAGACTTTGCTCTGGGTTTGGGGCTGGGAGGTAGGCCTTCCAGGGCGGTAGCTCCACTGTTTACACAGCTCTTTCCTGGAAGCCAGAAGACATATGCAAATTGTTGGATGACAGGGTGACCTACCCCTGGTCACATGACTAGGAGTGCTCCTCGGAGAGGTGCCTGCCAGCCTAGGAAGCTGCTGCTCCCGCTGACCTGGTCCTGTTTCCTATAGCCAGCTGCGGTTTATAACCTCCATAGCAAGTTAAACCTACCTAGGGAGTTTTTGCAACATGCCAGAGGCCAAAAATGATGGCTTAATTAATTGGTGTGGGGTAGGCCCAGACGTTGGTATTTTCCTTGCATTCCTCTGGTGATTCTAACAGACAACTGGGACAAAGGTCAGCTGATAGGAGATAGAAAGTGGGCACTATGGGGTTGGAGACACAGCACAGTCTCCAGCACCACATACCCTGGAAATAGTGAAGCAGACCTGTAATTCCAACACTAGGGAGATGGAGGCAGGAGGCTCAGAAGTTTACTCCTCAGCTACGTAGAGAATTAGAGACCAGTCTGGACTATATGAGACAGTATTTCAGAAGAGCCAGACAATCCCGCAAACAAGCAAATGAAGAGCCATAACTTGGTACTTGGTGCAGTGTTTTTCAGCATCTATGAGTATAGCTCTCCTTTCATTTTTATCTGAGCACATGAACAGGGCATGATGCTGTGAGCGGAGTCTGAGACACCTCATTGTAGGTCAAGACTGACATGAAGGAGAGGCCTGGGTGAGCCATGTTCATTGAACCCTATGATTTTCTTTCAGGGGGCTCATGACAAGAGATGTTGGCCAGTTTGAAAATCCCCAAAGTAGAATGGAAGCCTCCAAATGCTGGGAACCAGGGTCTTGGGAAGAGCCAGTTTATCTGAGAAAGCATGAGGACATGGACTTAATCCCTAGCATGCATGTAGGAAGCTGCTGTAGTGGGACAACACTGTAATCCTCGTGATAAGGTGAGAGACAGGCAAGTGCATCTCCGAGGCCCACAGGCCAGCCTGTCTTAATTACCAAGTCCTAAATATGAGAACCCTTATCTCAAAACGAAAAACAAACAAACAACAACAACAACAACAAAAAACAAGGTTGGATGGATCCTAAAAATGATACGTAAGGTTGACATCTGACCTATATGTGTACACATCCCACCCCTCACACCAGCATACAGGAACATATATCCACACAAAGAGTTGTGAGCATCCTCATAGAGGACCAAATTACAAGCTGCCTGTAATGGTCTTCTATCATCTTCTTTCTTCAAGATGCCATTTTTCAAGATATAAATTTAATTCTAACTCCCCAAATTATAACCAAGCAGTTAGTTGACAGAAACTTGGCACTTCACTTGTTGGCAAGGGATATCTTTTTGTCCCTGGCTTTCCAAAATAAAAAATATAAGTCATTTCAACTATTTTTAATCTAGAAACTGACAAAAAAGTTTTGTGCTGTCTCCCACATCCTATTAGCTACATAAAATCGACACCAGAATAGTTTAAAGTAGGAAAGTGAACCTTCTGAAATACCTACTCACTTTGAGCCTCGACGAGACAGTGTGAGCCAGCAGGCACTTGCGTAAGTGATTCTGGCT